CCTGCTGAAAAGGGAAGGCACTGATGCTCTGCAGTTCAGATTACTGCTTGGGTAATGGGGCAGCTCGGCAGCAAATACAAAAACAGCGTAGCCGCTAACAACAGAAACTCCAGGAGCAGCAGCAAGAACCAACACAACAAGCCCTGCCAAGTGCTTTGTCCCATGCTCCTCGGGGGTTTGTGCTTGGTCAGGGGGGAGCAGGGGGTGTAGTACTGACACCAAGAGGTCTGTGGATGTGCCCCTCATTGCTTTTTTGGCCATGAAATGTCAATGTGCAGAAGTTGAGCAAAGTGCTGGAAAATCACCACTGAGTTACTAGAAGAACTGAGTCCCTCCAGTCAGTTTCTAACATGGCCAAGGCTCAATGCAGGTAAATATTATATATTATTTTCTGATTTGTACACTTCAATATTTACTTGCTTCTCATGTGCAGCAATCAGTTGAATTTGCTGGTTTTTATCTCTGCGCTGACTTAAAATTGAGGTGCCAGCTGAACAGTTCACTGGTGGATCAGAGGTTTAGAGTTTGGGTACAACTGGCTTGTCTTTTTTTCCATCTCCCTTCAACAAACCTTTATTCACCATCCTTGTTTGAGAAGACATCAGGTCTCTTGGCTGCTGTGGGTGCCTGGAAAGGTTTTGACTGCAGGTTTTCAACAGAAGAGCAGAACTTTCTGTGCTTTGTGCTCTCATGCCACTGTATCATGAGAGCCAGAGTGAAGTGTCCCAAGGAGCCTTGTTCAAGTTGTTCCTGCAGGGAGCTGCCAGTGGGATCAGAGCCCACATGTGTGTCAACTGTTGTACATTCCCGCAGTGGGAAGGAGTTGGGAAGCATGATTTTCTGTAAGACACCTCAGAGCATGAGCAGCACCAAACCTTTATACTCAGAAATGGTTACACCAGCTTCTACAGCACCTTGAAGTTTTGCCTTCAGACATTTTGTCCTTATAGAAAACAGTATTTTGGCGTCTACCACATCACAATGCATGCTTCTAGTTTCTTGTAAACAATTATATGACTGCCACTGGGTCAGGCACTAAAAGTCACCCATCCTGTGTTGCCTTCCCCAGAGAGTCTGATATGGCAAACATTTCTTTAAAAGCTTACTTCAGAGTTTTATGTTTCTGAGAAAAGACACTATTCTTAGCTCCAGGGAAAAGAGATTCCAGATGTGAGGACCTTCTCCATGAGTAATGCAGGAGGAGGGGAGGGGATGAGCCATGCGGATGCTGTTCCTTGCCCCCAGGGCATCCCTCTCATCTCCACAGATCCCCCAAATGCAGCAAGAGAAGGCTCATGGGCTCCTGGCCATATCACCTCTAACAACCTCCACACTCCTGGTGTGAAGGGCCTTCCAGCCAGCCCAGCTTCCTTGCACTGAGTCCTGCAAGGGCTGGTAGTGATGAGCATCACCAACAGCACTTAGAAATGGAAGCACCAAGGATGTTACCTGAAAAGGCAAGGTTGTTTCTGTCCATGCTGCAGCAGCCTGGCTAGGTGGATGAGTGAGAGAATGTGTGTCAGGAATGGGTGGCTTCTCAACCTTCCTTCCCTTTTTCTTCTCTGCACAGCTATCATGCTGCTGCTTTTGTGACCCAGCAATAGCACTGCTTGACCATTGGGATTTGGAGATCGTGTTTCTGGCCAGAAAAATAGTTTATGATTCCTTTAGAGAAAATTCTGCTAGTAAGTTAGTAGAATTTTTTACAAAACCTTCTGCTCTCCATAGTAACGTACTCGTTTGACATATGACAGCATGAATATACTTCCCTCAGTGTAAACAGAAACTTGGATCTTTCCAAGAAAGACAGCCACAAAACATAATTTAAATTCTTCATGTTACCACTGATAAGCCACAAAAGTGACTTATACAAGTGTAAGCAGATTCATTTCCATTAGAGCAAGGAGGCAAGGTCCAGCCAATTCTGATTTTTTTGTAGAAGGCTGCACACCCAGTCACTAATCACTTTTTATGTCCATTTACATTTCATCCATATTTTGCATTTTAAAAGTAGATGTTGTCTAGCTATAGATGGACATGAAAACCCAAGAATGCACCAAGTGTGCTCTTCTGTCCTTCTCCAGCAAAACTGTTTTGCCCCATGTGCCAGAGGTAATTTAGATCCTGTTAAATATGGAATTTATTGCTTGCTGGTGACATCTGATCAACTTGGGTCTCAACACATGACTGCTGGATGAAGTAGCCTTGTTTGGTTTGTGTCTCACTAAAACAGTTACTTGAGAGGTGGCTTGTTTATCTAGAAAGATTTGTGAAAGATAAAGCCCCACCCTGCATTGTCCTGGAGGGTGTCAGCACTATCCCCTGGCCAAGCTCTGCCAAGTCTGTTTGAAGAGCCCTGCAAATTCCTGTAAGTGCTGTCCAAGATGTGGGAGATACTCAGGGAGTTCTCAGATCCTTCAAGTGCTCTTTGAAAACACCTTCCCCCTCCCCCCCCCCAAGGATAAAATACTTAATAGTGTTACTAAGCACTGGGCCTCAGAAATAACAAACATGAGGACATCTTTGTTTGCAGTGGCAGGAGAGGCCAGAAGATGGTCTTCGTCTTGAACATACCAAGAAAGCAGCATGTGACTTCTTACTACTTACAGCACTGCTGTAACCACTCATTATCTTGCCAGAGGGCTGACAGAAAGGGTTATTCAGCCCAACTCACTTCTCTCCTATGCCTATCCTAGGGTGTCTTGGAAAGCTTTCTGGGCACAGCTGTCACCGGTGCCATATTTTGCCTTTTTGCTGGTCAACCTCTCACAATCCTGAGCAGCACGGGACCTGTGCTCGTCTTTGAACGGCTCCTCTTTAATTTCAGCAAGTAAGTACCCAGGGAGGAAGGGGGGAAAGGAGGGAGGAGGGGAGGAATGTTTCACACTAATGAAATACTAGCTAGGGAATGAGATGGCTGGCGGTGGGGAAGGAGAGGATTTAGTGTCCGAAATGAAATGTCTCTTTGTCCTTGTGGTGGTTGCAGTGCAATCATACCAGGGATTTTCACAGGCACGCGTGGCCCAGAGCACTGTCCGCTGTGTGGGGGCATCTCTCCTTGGGGCCCCTTGGAAGTTCTTGGCCAAGTGTGTTCTGGATGAGGAGTCTGCAGAAGTTACAGCCAGTGTGCTCTTCCTCCCCTGCTGCTGCATGGCATTTCCCTGTGTGTTTCCCATAGGAGCAAAGAAAGGGATCCAACTCTCTGTGATTTCACCAACAAAACCCTGCAGGTCTCACAGTTACCAAAAAATGAGTCCTCAAAGCATTGCTCACTGGAAATAATGGCTGTTGCTTATAGAAGCAAAAGTTCCTCTGATAGCAACAGCAATCCATCCGTGTTTGTTCCCGGAATTCCTCAGTGGAACTGTGCAGCACTAAATGATCTTGGGTTCTTTTTAAACTGGTATCAAGAGGTTCTGCTCCCTCCACACCATGTTAAGATTGATGCAAGAATGAGAGGTGACACCCAGAGCTATAGCAAGCTCATTTTGTTAGGGGTTCTATTTTCCTATTCCTACATCTACAGTGCTGGCAAAATACAATAAGAATCCCTAAAGGAATCAGCATATTCGCTAGCAATTTGCCATGTATGACTGTTGATACTTCGGACAGTGTTTTGTAAGGAGATCACTTTAGGTTATACACAGAATGCCCCAAATCACTTCCAGCCCTCCCTTCCCCCATCAGGGAGCATTCCCATCATTGCCAGTTGTGAGAGACTTCTGTTCCAGGACACAAATAAGGAGCTTTTGGAGTTAAGCTGTCACTAGGCTTTCTTTCAATAGCAGTTGCCTGTAATGGGGAGCAGCCTTTGGGAGTTATTTTTAGAAAAGGCCTATTGAATTATTAAGCTGAGCTTGGCTGCAGGTTGCAGTAAGGCAGGAGACATGGCGTATGTGTGACTGTTTAATTGTATCTCCTTCCTCATTATATTTAATCTCTGTGGGTTGTTACTCAGACATAATTGGGAGCATGTCGTCGTGTCTTTCCTGTGAACACCCTCCATGTTGGAGAGGTCTTTTGAGGTCCAGGGCTTCTGCTAAGGCAGACAGTATCCTTCCATGTGATCCCATATAGCACGGCTACACAGGACTCATTTGGAGTGAGATGATTTCATTTGGTTACTTAACTTACTCAAGAATACTTGTGGCAGTGTGAGCCATGTCTGCATAGGCAGAGGCTCCAAAAAATTGGACAGAAAATCAGACCAGTCCAGGATGGGAGTCTGGAAGCTGCTGCCTGGTGAGAGATCTGCAGCAGAGCAAGAAGGCAGGCCCCTTTCATTCCTTTCTTGGACTGGAATAAGTGAATAAAATCAGGAGTAGACAGGCTGTAACTGTTTGCATCTGGCTGGCAGGTCAAAGCCCAGGTGCAGGACGCAGAAGGAAAAAACGAAGATGGAAAAACACCTTGTCTGGTTTTGGGAGGGAGAAGGTGGTTATTTTTAACCCAAGGTGGTTATAAAAGCTATTATCCTGCCACCCAGCTGGAGCAGAATGGCAAGATATTCTGAGGGAGTCTTTCTCACAAGGAAATTGGAATCAACTACTGTGATTTTTCAATAATGCATTTGCGGTTGTTCATATTCACAACAAGTTTGTTCCCCTGCTGGGAGCAAAATTAGAAAGACTTCCCATGTACTGATTCATTTGAAGTTTGAGTCTGTGTTTGTGTGTGTGTATGGAGAGATACCTCAAAAAGCGTCAGGCGCCTGCAGGAGCACATTGGTTGTGTTAGTGGCAGAGGGGGGTGATGCAGCAGGACACCCAGCTCAGCTCACAGCCTGGCTGGTGAGCTCTGCCCCCATCCTTCTCTTCTGTGCCCAATGTGACATGAGTCTGGGTCTGCAAGCTGGCAGCAGTGGGCAGCGCGGTGCTGGGCTCCTTGGCAAAGCAGGACCTCAGCCCTCCTGCCTTCCAACTGCAAAAGTGGGCTCCTGGGAGAGGTTCCTCTCCTAGAAAATAAGATTAATCACAGCAAAAGTACTTAAGCTGGTGTGTTGTGTGTGTGAAGCGTCCTGTGCTTTTCCATTTGCACTGTGAGCTTCACAAGTGCTGCAGGGCTTTGAGGGGTAAAAAAACCCAAGAAGCAGTTGAAAACCTTTCGAAATTATTCAGTGGTGTGTAGTCATGGTGGGTCTCTGCCAGCTGTCCTATCCAAACTGAGGCCTTGACTCCAGGTATTTCAGAGAGCTGTCACTGGGGTCTCTTATTATTTCCCTCTCCTCTTCTCTTTTCTGAATTGTCACTTTGTTTCTTCCTTGCTCCTCATCCAGGTCAGACTGTCAGTGGGAGAAGGCTGCAGCCTTCCCTGAGATGTGGGTCTACAGTAAGGAGAAAGCTTCACTTGAGGAGCTTAGTTTGAGTGCAGATTCCCAACCTTACCTGAGGCAACCTGACATGCAACCCAGGATCCTTACGGAAGGCTTTACCTGGCACCCTGCCTGGTCTGCAGCCTTTTCTCCCATTTCACACTCACAGGCTGCAGTTCCCCAGTTGAGCTGCTCCTTTATCCTCTACTACCCTTTTATTTCCTACCACACACTAGAAAATCCCCCTCACACCCCTCCATTGGCCAGGATTTCTGCTGGAGGGGGGGGACAGGTTCTTGGGTGTACTGTGCAAAACTGCCTGAAGTTTGCCCCCATGGGGGAATGCTGACAAAGGGCAGAGGTGTGTAACAGCACACTGTGTCTACCTGGAAATAAAAACAGGTACACGGGAGATGCAAGGACATTTTTTACACTTGTTTTTTTTTTAACTCTGCACAGGTTTGAGGGAGTCCATGGGCAGTGGAGACTGGAGTGAATGGTGAGACCAGCCTGTAGCCAGCTCTGAAGGCAACCAGGCTACACTCATGCTTTATATTTAAAGGCAGGCTCACAGTCAGTTTTTCTTATAGCACTTGGTGTAGCTGGATTCACTCCTGAGCCCCATCCCCTCCTCCCAGCTTCCCAAGGCTGTTACCTCATGGCAGGGCCTCACCTGCTCTGGTTCACTTTTCATGTTTGTTTAGCCCCCAGATCCTACCTTGGGGCTCTGAGCCGTCAGGGCACCGCAGCCTCCAGCAGCAGACAAGGGGCCAACTTCCCAGGAAGGGACAGTGGAGTTGATTCCATCATTCTCCACAGACTGCCACATCCTGGCACCAGGGTTTGTTGTCTTCTGCTTTGTACTTCTTGACCTTCTCCAGCCAACACTTTTGATTTCTGCAGATAGTGCAAAGGCCATAGAGGTGGAGGTGCAGGCTCCTGAGTGCAAGGCTTGCCAGGAGATTGCTTTTGTGAAGGAGGTTTGTAAACTGCAGTCATGTCTTCAGTTGGTGGAAAGCTGTCAGTGTTGAGCTGCTCTTGGTGGGGACAGCTGAATGTTTGGGTCTTTACAGCTCTGGGAACGTTTGCCAAGGGAGGATTTTTACTGGAAGCCCAGGAAGAGCTTCAATTTACTGGAAAAGTTTATTAGGCCTAAGCAAGACTGATACCTTCTTCATGCTTTTCTGCCACCTCAGCTGTTAAACTGCACCACACACATTTACTGAGTGGACTGGCTGAAAATCACAGAGTCACAGAATGGTTTGGGTTGAAATGGACCTCCAAGACCATCTAGTTCCAACCCTCCTGCATAGGTAGGGACACCTCCCACTAGACCAGATTGTTCAGAGACCCATCCAACCTGCCCTTGGAAGACTTTGAGGGATGAGGCATCCACAACTTACCTGGGCAACCTGTGCCAGTGTCTCATCACCCTCACACTAAGGAATTTCCTCCTGATGTCTCACCTAAATCTTCCCTCTTCCAGTTTAAATCCATTACCCCTTGTCCTCTCACTACAAGCTCTTGTAAAAAGTTCCTCTGTGGCTTTCTTGTAAGACCCCTTGAGGAAAAGGAGGAAGTTAGCCCTTGGGAATGCTCTCCTTGAGGAGAGGCTGTGCCTTCACCACCACTCTCTGGGAAGTCCCAATCCTGCCTGGATTTATCTTAACTCTGATATTTTCCCTTCCTGCCACACCTGTCTTGTTGCAGAGACAATGATTTTGACTACCTGGAGTTTCGTCTCTGGATTGGCCTGTGGTCAGCCTTCCAGTGTCTCGTCCTTGTCGCTACCGACGCCAGCTTCCTGGTCAAGTACTTCACTCGCTTCACCGAAGAAGGCTTTTCCTCCCTTATTAGCTTCATCTTCATTTATGATGCTTTCAAGAAAATGATCAAGCTGGCAGATCATTACCCCATCAACTCTGAGTTCAAGGTGGATTATATCACGCATTACTCTTGTGCCTGTGAATCATTAGATCCAGGTAAGAGAATGTTTAATTAGCTCACCAGTTTGCAGATAGGAAATTGCATTTGCTTTCTTTTTCTGTTGTGCTGCAGTCCAGACAGTAAACAGGTAGATCCTTCTTGATCAGTTGTCTTCCGATATCCTATCTTAGCTGTATTTTGAAGCTGAATTTCACCCAACATGCCAACTGTCTTCATAGCCAACCATCCCAGGGCTCCTCCTGTGAGCATCATTACCAAGGGAGAAGCTGTCTCTGTCTTCTTGCATCCCCGTGGCTGTTAATTCTGAAGGGCATTCCTTTGGGAAGTGGGTGAAGGGGCAGAAGTGGTGGCCAGGTCACTCCTGGTATCTGCTGTCCTATTCAGCCAGGTGCAGGAGCTGGATGTATTCAGAGCGCTGCCCAAACATGGGTGGTTTCCCACCTCCTGGCTGTGTGTACAAGTGGAAAAACACGAACAGTTCCTTGCTAGAGCAGAAGGGACGTTTATCCAACAGTTCAGCCTATCACTAGAGTGTGGGCTGCAAGGCAGGTGGAGCCAGCATATGCATAGATCTGGCAACACAACTGGGAACAAGAGGTCACAAAACCCAAATACAAACAGGAGTCCCATTAGGGAAGCTGTGACCACTCCTCAGGCTCCTTCAAACAATGAGGAGTGAATAAGAAACTTGGTTTGGGCTCAAGTAAACTTAAAGTTATCTCGACATACCTGTCAAACAGGAAGACCTTCTGGCTGCCACCTCTGTGCAGAAGGTGTTGGGATTTGGATTGCAAAGTTGCATTCCCAGGAGTTCTGTGCTTACCTTAGTTACTATATGTAGGATCTCTGCAAGCACATGGGTGTTGGTCTAATTCTGCTTCCATTTGAGCAGCAGGGTCTTGTCTTTCTTGTTATGGTACATGCTGAATTGAAAGGCCGGAGTTGCTGACAGCAGTCTGTCCAGCTAATCCTCTGGAACTTGGCTCCAGCCACCTCAAGCTCTCCTACACACATCTGCATCCCTTGGTGGCACTTTGGATACACCACAGCTTCAGGAGCTGCCAAAGTTGAGGGAGAAGATGGGAAACAGCAAACTGGCTAGGAATGAAGCAGCTAACAGTGACCCCATATTTAAATTCAGTCCAGGACAAGCTCAAAAAAACAATTTGAGGCTTCTGTGTCACATGGACTTTCTTGCACCTCCAGTTGGTGTCTCTGAGCTAACACACAGTGCTTTATAATGTGGGTCAAGAAGTTCAAAGGCAAAACCAGCAGCCAGACCCCTGCTCCACCCCCTTTGAGCAGCTATCACATCCACCTAGCAACTGCTGAGCCCAAAGCTGAGCACCAGGCAGCATGTGCCGAAGGGGCTTGGTGGCCACAGTGAGAAGACCAGAGGTCCAGAAGCTTGCAGCTGCTCCCTGCAGCCCATGGGTCCTGACTGACCATGCAAGGAAGCTGCCAGAGGCAAAACCTGCAATGATGCCTTGAGGCACAGCAAATCCATGGCTTGGCAAGAGTCATGAGATCCTACTTGTCAAGAGCCCGGGCAAGATTACCTCTGTATAAAGATATCCTACTACTTATTTAAACCCTAGTATGACTTCAGTAGTAGAAAAGGCAAATGCACTTTCTCCAGAGAAACAAATGTGAGCTGTGCAATGTTTTAAAACAACTTGCCTATTATTATCAGGCATAAAAGCACATGCAAAACCTAAATAAAACATGAGGACATTGCTTGATGAGCCTAACTTCAGGAAGGATTGCATTTCTAAGTGAAATTTCAAAGACGTGATTTCTTCTCCCATGAAAGCAAAAGGAAAACCTGTGTCATTGGCAGCTTGCACTGTGACCCTTTTTGCAGAGAAATTATCTCCATCCTGTTGATTTCAACTGCTCTTCACCTTCTGTTTTTTTAGCTCAAAATACATGTCTGTGCTGGTTTCTGAAATGCCTTTTGCTTTTCTGGATATTTTTCAGGTTGTGCATTCATTTTCAATTAATAATTAGTTCTGTGGATATTTGTTGTAATCCAGGAATCATTGGGAAAAAAATGCAAAACCACTAAATATTCTGTTGTCTGTCTTTCTGGTATTTTTTAAGTGTCAACTCCAAAAAGACCCAGTTAGGTTTGAATTATGTTTCCCCCAGCCTTTTCTTCCCTTTTTTTAAGTGTTGGCTGCTTTTAAGTTGCTCAGAAACAATACATTTGGTTCACTTTCCTTGAGCAAAGAGATTGCAGATAGTTTGATGGAGTTACCAGGTAATTTAGTAGTTGAAAATGGCTTTTCTTCCTAGCTGTTTCAGCACCACGCTCACAGTGTTCCTTCTGCTGTCCTCTCTTGCAGTTAATAGCTCATTATTTAATGGGACTACGGTGCCGTCAGCTGGTGAGCTGTTCTCTTCCTCTGCTGGGATGGTGAGTGCCCTTGGAAAGTGGGGATTTTAGCATCCTGGAAGTCTGTCAGCACCATGTGTTTTGGCTGGGCTGTGCCCAGAGACCAGGAACTGGTGGCCTGAAGAAAGCTCTCAGGCTGACACTGCCCTGTTGCCCATGACACAGTGAAAATGTGATGCTGCTCCTTTGGGCACACTCAAATGACCCTCCGAGGGTTCCTTGTGGTTCTGGATGTGGAATACTGTGTGCATAGTTTGGTAATAGTCATTACTTGCTAATGGGGGCCACTTTCTTGCAGCCTTCTGTCTGTGTGTTGGCAGGATGGAATTGATTCTTGAAAGGGATTAGTCAGATCCTGGTATCTGGGGCTGTAGTGGATGGAGTGTTATGGCCAGCCCTTCCTTTGGAAGGTCCTGTTTCCATTCTCTCCTTTGATTTTTTTCTCCTGGCTTTTGCACGTTATACTCCAGTGGTGAGCTCTGGGTGATGAGGAGAAAGAAACTGAGCTTGCTGGTATCAGGTACATCTGTGTTTGATGTGAGGAAGTGAGGTGGAACCCAGCAGAGGAGTTTTCTGCTGAAGAATACAGACCCCACCCATCTGCCTTCTTCACTGCCCCATCTCTGCCAGCTGCCTGCAGTCCCTGAGCTTAGCTCTGTTTCCAGACCCCTTTTTGGAAGCCTTAGAGTTTCAGAGAGTTAGAGTTGAGCAGCATTTGCACAAGCAAATGTTCTTTTTGTCTGCAGTACAACTCCACCATTGATTGGTCGTCTCTGACAATGAAGGAGTGCTTGAAATACGGAGGACGACTTGTGGGCAACAACTGTGGATTTGTCCCTGACATCACCCTCATGTCTTTCATCCTCTTTTTTGGCACTTACACCTGTTCCATGGCCCTGAAGAAATTCAAGACTAGTCGCTATTTTCCAACCACTGTAAGTGTCTCCTTTTACCCTCGCAGTATGTTCTTTTATTCTTTCAGAGTGCAAAGATCAGCCTTGCTTTTGGTACAGCTGTCATGCATGCTTTGCAGGGAGGACAGGTTGTGTTGGTTGAGAAAAGTGGTAGTAGTTATCCAAGGTATGTCGGGGATTGTTTACCTGTCACCCTTAGTGTTTTTGGAGAGCACAGGTAAGGCAGCAGAAGAGCTAAAATGCGGCATAATCTGCCACGGGGATGTGGCAGTGACTTTAAAGGTACCGATGCTGACACTTCCAAGCTGAGATACAGAATGATGGAGTTTCTTGGCCTTAAGAAATCAGAAGAGTCCTTCAGGCATGTGTAGTTTCAGCTGCCATTTCCAGGCTCAGATACAGAGCTTCATGTGCTCTACTGCCTCTGGGACAGGACACATGGTATTCTACAGAGCTCAGACAACCCAAAGGAGCTGTTCATCAGGTCAGGAGGTCTTCCCTGCTTCTAGCCAAAGGGAGTATTTGGGGAGAACAAAAGGAGCCCTGGGCTCTCTCACCAGGTAGAACTGGGTAAACGACCTGTCCAAACAGAACAGGAGATCAGAGACCCATCTTTGATGTGACCATGTAGCATAGGAAATACTCAGAAATTAATGTAAAAATGTTGAACTCCACTACAGTCCTTGTCCACTCCACCTGTTAGGGTAGGGACCTACAGCAGAAATTCCCTCTCTACTATGAGGATTAGATGCAAAAATAAGGATGACCTGGAAAATCTCTGCCTTGATTTAAACAAGAATTTTCTCAGACTTACAGCCAGCTTCTCTGCACCTCTCAGGTGCATCTGTTTGTGTGGTCTCTCCAGTTAAACTTAACCATAACAGATATGAGAGCTGCTGCTTTCCCTGTGCACCAAAGCCAGATTTCTCTCTGAGACCTAAACCCCTCATTTTTGGCAATCTGACACAGAGGGATTTATCCTGCATGGTTGTTTACTGTTCTGCTGTGTTACAATTTAAGTTCTGTTGTTTTTAATAAAAAGGAAACAAATTCCATCTGGGCTGGAATGCAGCTCAATTTATCTGTAACCATGTGAACCCAAGAAACCTGGAGGGAACAACAGCTCGGGAAAGATCACAGAGTTGCAGACAAGCACAGTGGGTCCTGCCTAGTAAATTATTACATTTCAGGGTCTGACCAGTGGCAGCTTTAAGTTGTCTTATTTCAGTGACTTAAGGAGAGTTGCACTCTTAGGGCATGTTGAGGATTTAGTGGAGAAGCCTTGTTTGTTTGTCTGTCTCTTTAGGTTGATTTAGTCCTTGAACAGAAAATACTATCTCTGCCAGTCCTGAAGAACATCTCATCTCCTGTGGATGTTTGGGTCTTCCCATCTTCTAAAGGAAAGTTTGTGACTGGTTCCATTGTCAGGTCTAAAATACCATTTCTTCCCTCCCCTGTTTATTTTTTTTTTAATCTGCTTTGCACAATCAGTCGTATTAAAGGAATGGAATCTAGGGATAAACATAGTACTTTTTGTTAAAGCCACATACCTTAGGAACCCTGTGATAAAACAAGAAGCTGAATCATGTCAAAAAGCATTCAAAGAGCAGAGAAAAGCATGACTATGTGCACCCTAAAGAATAGGAGATCAGAATGTGACAATATTTTACATGTCAAAAAAAGTCATAATGTTTTTTGCTTTATTTGTAAATGTTCAACATCTATTATTATTATTGGAAGTTGATCCTGAAAAGTCTCTTTGGACACTGCTGCAGAGGAACAAGGTCTCCATACCCGTGGTGGTTGGCTGCTGTCTGATGTCACATCAGTGAGGCTGCCTTAACAAATTCCTGTGGGAGTTTCTTACAAAAGCAGTTTTCTTTTCCCATGGGCTTCTTTTCATACTTCCATTTAGGCTTCATTGTGTGGCTTTTGCACAGTGCCACGAAGTCCCAAGGCACATGTAGGCAAACGTCACCAGGCAGGACAATGCACACCTTTATTTCAATGAAAGGAGAAACCACGAGCTTGTGTTGCCACCAAATGCAAGGATATCACATAGAAACTACGGCCTGGGTGACAGAGTTCATAGTGCTAACTACAGTCATGATGTCAACTTCTGTTTCAGGCCCGGAAGCTCATCAGTGACTTTGCCATTATCTTGTCCATTTTGATTTTCTGTGGAATAGATGCCCTGGTAGGTGTGGACACACCAAAACTAATTGTGCCAAGTGAATTCAAGGTATGTCGTTATTGCTTGTTTGGTGGCCTTTTGAAGAGCTTCCCTTTTCTGTCCTTCTGCCCTGTAAAATGACTTGCCTTCAGAACAGGAGAGTAGTCAGCTGTCTGGAAAGGACCATTTTACACAGATGAGACCCTTTCTATTAGCATCACTTTGGTTGGCTGATTTATCTCCTAAATCCTGCCTTCATGCTTAGAATCAGAGAGTTATGTATTCATGGAATCATAAAGATTGGAAAAGATCTCTAAGATCATCAAGTCTAACCATCAAACCAACACCATCATGCCCACTAAACCATGTCCCAGAGTGCCACGTCTGCATGTTTTTTTAACACCTCCAGGGATGGCTACTCCACCACTTCCCTGTGTGGCCTGTTCCAGTGCTTGACCACTCAGTCAAGAAATTTTTCCTCATGTCCAATCTAAACCTCCCCTGGGGCAACTTGAGGCCATTTCCTGTTGTCCTACTTTGAACCTTTTAATGGGGAGAATTGTAAAAAACCTCAGGTGTCTCCCTGTAGTCCTCCTGCTGCTGGAAGTACAAGTGTATTTAGGATGTCATCATTCCTATATGTGACTCTAATGCAAACTTTCTTTTCCTTGCCCTTAAAAGCCAACCAGTCCTGAGAGGGGTTGGTTTATCCCACCTTTTGGAGGGAACCCATGGTGGGTCTACCTGGCTGCAGCCATCCCTGCACTGCTGGTGACCATCCTCATCTTCATGGACCAGCAGATCACAGCTGTCATTGTCAACAGGAAGGAGCACAAGCTCAAGGTGGGTGCGCTTAGTGTCCTGCACGTGTCTGGCTGCACCAGAGAGCTGCCCTGTGTTTTCTGTGGGCCAGAGGTGGAGGAGGGCCCACGGCAGTGTTGGATGTACCCCTCAGCCACAACAGTATTTATCTTGTATTATTTTGGGAAGTTGATTGGGGCCAGCAGAAGGCTCTGATCACTTGTCACCTCACCACTGGTGTGGCAGTGCTGGGGCTTCCAAAGGGACCTTCACTCCACAGGCTCTAGTTCTCTAGAGGAACTAGTCCCAAACCCCAGTCCAGCTAACTCAAGTCTCTCTAGCATCAACTGATTCTTAGCATCTAATTTGCCTCCTCCCACCTTCCTCCCTCAAAGATGGAGGGTGATTCATCTGCTGATGATTTTAGGGAAAGCTGCTTTGTGATTGTGGTTAGTTTTTTTCCTGCACTCTTTCTTAGGCTGTAAGCGGTTACTTAATGAAAAGGAAAGTGAGGGTGGGGGGTGGGTCATGCAAGTATCCTCAGAGAATGCCTGGTTTTGGGATCTTAGGCTTGTGGTGGAGAGAGAGGCGGTGAACTTGGAAGGGCCTCCTCTCTCAGGAACTCTACTTTAACCTGAGCCAGGACCTATATTTTCATTTGCACAGCACTGTGTGACTGCATCTAACCCAAAATCTCTCTCACCTTATCAACACAGGCAGAGTTCCTGTGGGTCTGATAGGCCCCTCATGCTGTGTTTATGGTGTAAGAAGATCACTGACAGACATTTCCAGCCAACAGAACAAGGGCTTTTTTGTGTGGTGGCCATCCCTGCTTCCCAAGGAGGCTTTGGGGTGGCAGGACCCCACCTTGGGGAGGAGGTATGGCCAGAGAGGTATGACAGCTGTGTTGGCAGTCCAGTGCTGTACAATAGTAGCAATAAGCTGAAGAGATCTGGGACATACCAAGGGCATAGCTACAATTGGATGTTATTTAAAGAAGAGCTTTATATCTGCTGACATATAACAGCCTAGGATGTAGTAATGTTTTTAAAATAAACTTTCCAGACCAGTGCTATGCACTTTTTAATGCCTGTAGGGTTTTACCTTTCCCTGCACCATCAGTTCTATTGAAAAATATTAAATTCCTGTCAAAGAAAACTCTGCCTTCCTGCTCACTGGACATGTTTGAAGTGGTCTAACCTGTAAGAGTAAAGACTCCTTCAAAACATGGGTAATGCTGAGTCATTACTTAGCTACCTGCTCCATTAGGTATACTGAGAGCTGTTGGGAATGTGAATGGAGGTTTTGCTTGAAAACGAGGAGAATGTTTTGATTCATATGGTCACTGTGGGCATTAGACAACTGATGTGTGATTTAAAACAGCCCTGAGCCTGACCTGGAGGGGAAGGAGTAACAGGGGATGGGAAAGGTGTGTTGTGGGCAGTGATGAGGGCTGGCTGCTGGTCTTAAAGGGCAGATATAGTTAGTACTACACCCACATCTTCTTCAAGGGGGAAGCTAATAATTGGCAGGGTTTCCATTTTAGGTTCCTGCACCTCACTAAGCAGACATAGCATTTTCATGATCACAGGAAGATTATCTGTTCTTCATCCATGAAGAAGAAGCCTCTCATCTCCTCAGCTTCTAGGCACTGAACATGGTGTTGCTAGCAATACAAGGGGTACTTTTTTTAGCAACAAAGTATAAACACTGCAGCAAAGTACTGTTTAGTTAAAAAAAAAAATTACTTCCTGCTTCCTTTGTTATGGTTGTAAACACATAGTTGTGTTTCATTGGGGGTTCCTGAGTCTGATCCTGCTGCTCTGTACCATAAAACACTTCTGGACACAAAATCTCCAGTGTGCCAAAAGAAGAATGGGTGGATGTGTTTTTTTTCTGCTAGTGCCTTGTTAAATATTGGCAGGGTATCACTGAGAGCCTGTCTCAGTGCTGCAGGCCAGCCAAGGTAAGCAGCACACATGTGAGGAAAACAGTGAGGACTATTCAAGATAAGCTGGGTTGCTTTCCCTCTGGGGTCACCAATAAGGTCCAGATCATTTGTTCTTTCCAGTAAAATCAAATTAAGCAGGATTTTAAAAAGGTTAGTCTTTAAAATAGCAAACCTTGGAGATTTGTCTGGTGTTTTTCTCAAGATCCCTGTCTTTGGTGGCTCTTTTGTTTCTTCACTTCTCTTGGCATTTGTGACCAGTGGAGTTCCTCTGTCAGTTCATTAAATTATTTAAAGAACAGAAGATCAGAGGTCTTTGAAAAGGAGTAAAGAAGGAGGGGATGAGCCCCTCAGCTCTTCTTGTTGCTCTCCCCAAGAGAGCCCAGGGCTGGATGTTGAGGAAAATGCCTCAAGCACCAAGCAGGATGATGGGGGCTCAAGCTGGTTGTGAGCTCCTGCCTGTGAGGTCCTGCAGTTGGTTTCTGTTCTGAACTTGGGGGCTCAGGGCTCACTCCCAGACTGCACAGGGCAAATGTTCCCTTGAGGCAGGCGCTCAGTTTCTGTCAGATTGCTTTCACATCGGCTTCGTTCAGTCATTACACTTGGAGGTATTTTACAACAGCTGCTTAAAACTAAAATTAGGCTTTGGGCTGGGTTTAAAAGGTAGTTTGGATGTTTAAAGCTCTGTGCATAACCAAGCGTATAGAGACATGAGGTGACAAAGGAGGTTCATCGTTTAAGGAGCAATGTATCCTACTCTGATGTTTCTTCTGACGGTTTGTCTTGGCTGGAAGATGCTGTAGGAAGAAAAGCTGCTTGTTTGGCGCACTTTTGCCCCCAGGCCAGAGCCCTGGCCCTTCCATAGGTGTTTAGAATAATTAAGCTGAAAGTTTTCTGTTTCCTTTCACAGAAAGGTGCTGGGTATCATCTGGATTTGTTCTGGGTGGCCATCCTGATGATCGTATGCTCTTTTATGGGCCTGCCCTGGTACGTTGCTGCTACCGTGATCTCCATTGCTCATATTGACAGCTTGAAGATGGAGACAGAAACTTCAGCCCCTGGAGAGCAGCCCAAGTTTTTGGGAGTGAGGTATGTCCCAGCAGAAAGGCCTTAATTGCCTTTCTTGCTTGCAGAGATCAGTATGCTCTGTATCAGTCTTGCTTCAAGCGGGACATATGCAGAGGTTGTGGGGAATTTGCTGTAAATCTTCAGCTCAGCTGGGCTTCCTTATAGCTTTTCTTTTTTTTTGTCCACAGAGGATACATCCAGTTAGAAGTTTATGTGATGTAGCTCTTCTGCAAAAGCTCTTTCTGGAACAGGAACAAAACTGTGTACCTGTATATGAGGTGCAAACATGTGGAAGGAAAGGGAGGAAACTTCATGCTGGAACTTAGGCCATTTCTTGGTCTACTTTGAGCACGCATGTTGAAGTCATTCCAGAATACCTAAAGCTTCACAGACCAAGCTCTGGCTCCTATGTGACACTGCACAGTAACTCCTCGGAAGGTTACTCAGCCAGATCAGATCCAGTGTTTGAGAAAGGAGATACATTTACTGCATATTTTGTTATCTATGGAAGTTAGGCAGGCATTCGTTAGTAAACATAATGGCAAAAAATGTAAACCTGTCATGCCTAGAGCAGTCTATTCAGCCTAAGAAATTTTTCCTGTATTTGGCTCCCTAATTAAGTGCTATGAAGTGCTCTTGACTTTCTGGAAATCAGACCGCTTTGTAAGTGGCTAAATAGAAATGTAACAGCCTAACTTCCAGTACTCTGAAATATTGCTGGCAAAAGCATTTTTGGATGTTCAGGACCCCAAGAAGGCCTGGACCATTTATCCAACTGCTGGAGTTCAATGACCAGGGCTCAAAATCTGCTACCAATCTAAGAGTGGAGAGCTAATGATTTATTACCTATTTGCATGCTATAAATATGGCCGTGCCAGGAATTGGAATTGCTAGTTAACAGGTTCTAATGTTTAACATGTAAACACACTCCAAGGGCTCAGTAGCAACACTCTGTTGATCCACAAACAGTGGAGCTAAGGCAGCATACAAAAAGGGGTCTGGTGTTTGAAAAAAACAGAGGTGGATGAGGCTTGGTCAGGATGAAGACACCTGCCTGATGCTGTTGGCTTGTAACTGCCTGTCCACCTTGCAAATGTAGCTGCAAAAAGGAGTTGTCAAGCTTTGTGTTGGTTTGGGTGCTCTGAGAGGGAATGAAACCAGGGTGAAAGCTGAAGCCATTCTGCTGACCCAGTGGTTTTGTTTCAGGGAGCAGAGGGTCACTGGAATTATCGTTTTCATTCTGACTGGTGTGTCTGTCTTTATGGCTCCCATCCTCAAGGTAAGGGCATCATCACCTTTGCTGCTCCCTGTTGCTCACACAGCCAAAGCAGGGCCACAGCCACCCTCAGGCCATTTTTATGCTGCTAAAACAGCTCATCTTTGGAGTGAAGCAAAGGAGATTAGTGAGAATTATTGATGGAGTTTTACAGTTTTCTGGAAGCTTCTATATAAACCTTTTGGAAGGAAAAAAATACAACATTTTTGTCATATGCTAGATAGTAATAGTGGTAAAGTTGAGGGCTGTTAGTCCTGGGGCTGTGATACCTTTCATTTTAAGATTTTTCTCTCATGCTTGCATGAAGCTCAGCTTCCTTTTATTTTGCATTCTCATACTTCTGCTGTGCCTGTGTTTTATTGAAAATACATGCTGGGTAAAGTTTGAGAGCCTGCTGGTGGCATGATGGGAGGGTGGTGGGCAGAAGAGTTGCTGAGTGGAAGACACAGGTTAACGGGTAGTTATGGCTAACAGGTCTACAGCCTCTTCAAGGGGGGCAGCAGAAGGGGAGGTGCTGGTCAGGGAGTGTCTGGGCAACGCTCTTAGTCACATGGTTTAGTTTTAGGTAGACCTGCAAGGAACAGGGAGTTGGACTTCATGATCCTTATGGGTGCCTTCCAACTTGAGATATTCCATAATTCTGTGATTCTATGGTATGGAGTTTTAAAAGAACAGTTGCATTTATTTGAGTATGAGGACATCTTAACACATATACCTGAAGAAAATCTTCAGCCCTTGTTGCTCAGAAGAGATACCCAGCTCAGCAGTGTGGAGAACATGTTTCTGGAGGAAGCAGTGCAATTAAATGTGATTCCTTGATCTCCTGCATTTTTTTTCTTGTGAGTTGAGCTCAGGCTCTGTACAGATGTCCTGCTGCTGCTGCACCATTTAATCTACGTAGGCAGCTATTTTCCAAGGCCTGAAATCTGTTGGCACAGAACCACAGAGAAACACATCCTTAGTGGATCATCAGGTTATAGAACAGAACTGGAACACCTACTTCTCCATGTCTTGTGGAAGATGCTGTCTTCTCTGAGGATGATGAGGTGAGCGGCGCCGAGTGCAGCCACACAATAGGAGATGTCAGCTGCAGAATCCTGTCTTCATGGATCTATACTATAGACCACTTTAATGAGCAGAGGCTGTCCAAGCAGTAAAATACATCGTGAGGCTGTTGTACCATGCTGTGACAGAGCAGATGGGTGTCTGGAGAAGCATTTCTGGAGGAGGCAATTGTTTTTCTGGTCATTAGGAGGTTGGAAGACATGGGGGCTGTGAGGCATGGTTAGATGTGTGCCTGAAGGGGAGGAGGCAGACAGAAAGCAATGATGCTGCCTGTGCATCAAGTGGAGAAAGCTGCTTTACAAAATCAGTTCTTGATTTCTAAGATTGTTTTTAAAACCAGCAGATCTTTGTGCCTTGGTAACAGTTTCCTCCTCTGCACAAACAGGCATTTCTGGCCCCTTAATTTAGTGCCTGGTTGTAATAATTCTGTTTGTTAGTTCATGTGACCTTTCCCTGCAAGATCCTTCTTCCTCTGTTCCACGGGGGCTTATTATTTCCCCTGTTATTGCTTCATTCATTAATTATTTGTCTGTGCCTCCTCTACGAACACATTCGGAGAGGCTCCTGGCGGGAGGACGCCTGAGGATAAATCGGCACGCTCCTCACCCACGTGCCAGCCAGAAGGACCTGGCAGCAGTTCAGGATCTTTCACAAACTCTGGTAGCAGGGTCTTCTGCTCTAGAGAACTGCTTTGCTAACTGCATTTGCAGGACATTGAAGACTCCTCGTGATGGTGGCAGATTGACTACTAACGATCCCAAATTCAAGAAACCAGGCAACCTGTGGGATAATCTCATCTTGTGATGAGATTTCTTGTGAGTTTTGCTGGTTTTGAACGTTGCTGATGTTTCTGCTCCATTATGGCAGATCTCCAAAGAAAAGTCCTCAGCCCTGTTAAAATGACAGGCACTTTCCCATGAATACGTTTTTAGCTCTGTTGGCTGGCAGCAGGTTTGCTCGGAGAGCCAGTAACCCCAGAGTTCAGGAATACGTTGCCAAAAAGAAAGTCTTCCAGAGTCAAAGTGCTGCCTGCTACTCTGCGGGATAATGTATTGAAGTTTCACCTAGGGATGATTTACAAGATGAATTGTCATGGAATGGTGAAATAATATTTGAACTTTTTTTTTCTTTTTCTTTTTTTTAAACAGAAAGAAATAGAAGGGGGGGGGGCGGGTGGAAGAAAGCCGTGTAAGTGAACTGGAAAGCTAAACTCCGAAAGCCTCCTTCCCAACTTGCCAGAGGAGCTATTATCTTGTCCCGTCTAATCCCTCAGATCCAGAGAGGGCTTTGAGTCCCTTGGACACCCTCAGCTCTGTGGACCACACACTGGCTCTTCATCCCTCCCCACAGTGGCACACAGTGATGGCTGAACCCAGGCTGCAGAAAGAACACCGGGCTTCTCATCTGAAGGATTAATGCAGCTCACGCAAGGAAGGAAATCAATCCGATAGAAAGATGGAATAGAAATCAGGAAGCTCAGGAACGAGTCTCAGGGGAGGGAAGGGAAAAATGTAGGCAGGGAACCCTGAGTGGCCCGGTCACTTTGCTGCTCATGTGCTCCAAGTGAAACGTGTGGATCAAGGCCTCCAGGGACAGGCGCATGACCCCACGTTTCTGACCCAGTACATGTGGTGTTATTTGCCTCTGTAATGAGTTCCACGCAGCAGCCGGGAAGCAGAGCTGGTTCCCCAGCAGCAGGGCTGGCTCCAGGGTGCCTGGGAGCCTTGGCCGTGCTGTGGCTCCCTTCGGTGGCAGCCGCCCGTCACTGCAGGCAGGGGACAGGGGCAGGGGCCCCTCCGTCCTCCTTAATAGAAATCAGGAAGCTCAGGAACGAGTCTCAGGGGAGGGAAGGGAAAAATGTAGGCAGGGAACCCTGAGTGGCCCGGTCACTTTGCTGCTCATGTGCTCCAAGTGAAACGTGTGGATCAAGGCCTCCAGGGACAGGCGCATGACCCCACGTTTCTGACCCAGTACATGTGGTGTTATTTGCCTCTGTAATGAGTTCCACGCAGCAGCCGGGAAGCAGAGCTGGTTCCCCAGCAGCAGGGCTGGCTCCAGGGTGCCTGGGAGCCTTGGCCGTGCTGTGGCTCCCTTCGGTGGCAGCCGCCCGTCACTGCAGGCAGGTGACAGTGACAGGGCTCCCTCTGTCCTCCTTGGGTGAAAATAAACCACACCAAGTGATGGAGGAACAGGCAGCACTTAACCACTTAAGGGAGCAGAAATTGGTGTTTGAAAGGACAATTTATGGCAGCAAAGGAAGCAACTCAGGGTGCTCTATTTTTGAGTAGTTAGGGATTAACATAAGTGAAAGATGGAGTGGTCAGAGATGGTGTTGGCCTGACTGTCATCACTGAAGAAGAGCCTTTCTGGTTGGATTTCCATGATTTACTGAGCCAGACATACCACAGGATCATGCTGCCTTTCCTTCTCTACCTTCTGCTTCAAGTCTTACCAGAAAAAGTGAAATTGCACACTAACATTCCCAAATTTGTTAGAGGTGAAGCAGTTTGAAGAGGTGAAAAGCAGTTTGAAGCTCACTGGAACATGTTTATGCTGCTGCCTTTTTAATTTTCTGGCTGGCTAGCTTCTTTCCCCTCCTTGTCTCTTGGAGAGAGGTCCAAGTCATGATGAAGCAGGAGAGCCATGGCTCCCTTGACCCCTGACCTGCTCCTCAGCCCTCCAGGGAGTACAGAGACATCCTCACAGCCCTCAGAAAACAGCGGAAGGATTGCTTGCTTTAATCTCTGCCTTTTCCCCTCCTGGATGTAGTTTGAGTTGATCCTAGGCTGGAATCCCCCCAGGTTTGTGGTGGGTTGTGAGTGGGGAGGTTGCTCACCCCCTTTCTCCCAATTTTCTCCCCACAGTTCATCCCCATGCCCGTGCTCTACGGCGTCTTCCTCTACATGGGCGTCGCCTCCCTCAACGGTGTGCAGGTGAGTCCTTTCCCAGCTGGTAAGTGCTTTGGGCTTTCTCTCACAACCTCCCCACAGCATTGCTCTGCTTCTGCACCCTCTCCTTTCCTTTCTTGAGAAGCCCCCAGGAGGATAGGAGCTGTTGACAAACACTGCAGCTGGCTAGCTGTCCTGAGATGGAGACCAAAGGGGAGAGCAGCCAAGCCTGGGCTCTGCCAGTGGTGGGGTGTGCTTTCTGAAGGCCCCAGGGACCATTTTCTCCCTAGCTGAGGGCTGCCAAGGGCCCATGACTTGTGGAGGCCCATGACTCCTGGGATGGTTCAGGTCTTCTGACAGGGTGTCTGTCCCAGACTGAAAGAAAACAAGGGAGGTGATTTGTGACAGCAAGGTTATCCCACATTGTCAAGGAGCAGGAACGTTGTTGTTCACCAGGGAGGGGGAGCCAGGCCCCCTTTCTTGGTTGCTGAGGAAATATCCCATGTTGTCAAGGAGCAGGAACATGGTTATTCACTGGTGAAGGTGAGCCAGGCCCCTTTTCTTCGTTGCTGAGGAAATATTGCGAAAGGAGCCTTTCTCACAATGCAGTCATTGGCTCTAGGAAGCTGGAAGTGGTTTTGTTGCTTTCTGGCACCCTGTTAATTGTGGCTTTTCTTTTTAGCACTTGGTCATGCTTCAATGGGAAAGAGACTGGCTGTCCCTGTAAGCACCATGGGAATTTCCTGGGGTATTCTTTGGCATGATTCTCACCCCAGCTTGCATTCACTGGGGGGAGATCAGTCTGGTCTCAGCAGCGGGCAGCAAGCCCACTTTGGGGCAGGGGACAAGGAGGGTATTATAATCTTTGCCCTGGGGTTGGTTCTCCTGGAAAGGGGTTTCCCTTTCTTCCCAGCCCAGGTGGTCAGGGGACTGGGCAGCTTGTTTTCCCCTCATCAAAGATGTTTTTTCACTCGATGATAAATCCCAGTTTTGGTTGTACTCCAAGTCCAGCGTGGAGCAGGGGAGGCTGCTGGAAAAGCTGCCCACTCTCTGCTTGGGTGCCTCTCTGTTCTCTGGTGATGTGGTGTCTGCCCTCACCTCTGCTCCCCATTTATTGGGAAAAAAAAAGAAGCAGCAGTGTTTTAAAATGCTGAATGTCTTCCCTTGGCAGGAGTGGGGGCAGAAGTGACCCAGAGTTTTATGCCAACTGCGGTTTGGGCATTCATCTTTTTTTCTCTGTGTTGTGGGTAATGAAGAATGCCCTTCAAGAGAGAATTCCCAGTGTCCACCATCCACAACAGATCAGGCCCATTCTTTGGAAACCAGCGGAGCAATTTCTACCAACATTCATTCCTTGGTTGACACGCTCATCACCAGAGCACATGGAGTCTTGCTCCTTAAAACAAGGGCACCTCAAGATCTGGCTTTGAGAGAAGCTTTGTTCCCATGTCTCTGTTTAGTTGCCAAATGTAGGGTAGACTTGGGACCTTCAATTGAGACAACTGAGTTAACGTGTTTGGCCCATGCTGCATTAAGCATAAGTCAGAATGGAGGAGCTGTGTTGGGCTTTCTAATTGGTTTCTTTTATGGCAGGAAAGCAGGTTGGAAGATGGAAGGTTGCCCTTCGTGTTGCAAGAATGCTTTTGTATCTCTTTTGTGCATGTCCTGGGTTTCATTTAAATGTCCATTTCCTTTCCTTCCCAGTTCATGGACCGTCTGAAGCTGCTCTTGATGCCTCTGAAACACCAGCCTGACTTCATCTACCTGCGCCATGTCCCACTGCGCAGGGTCCATCTTTTCACCTTCCTGCAGGTGGTGTGCCTGGCCCTCCTCTGGATCCTCAAGTCCACCGTGGCTGCTATCATATTCCCTGTCATGGTAAGTGTCATTCCCCTTCTGCCACCCACACCTGCCACACACACACACTCAGAAACAGGCAAATCCAACCTCTCCCTGTCCAATCCCTCCCTCAGGGCTCTGCCTTCACTCATGGCAGCAACATAGGACTGCACAGGGGCAGTGTTGCTGTGGATGCCTTTACATAAATCCTCTGGAGGAAAACAAGCCTGCAAAGTTAATTTTTTTCCAGAAAGGTGTAGTTAGTTTTGACCTTTCCTGGCTGCCAAAGTTAGACGTGCTGTGGTTTGCACCTAAGGTTAAGGAAGGAATGAGTGGTGTATAGTTTTTTCCTTTTTAGTCCACACTGATTACCATACAGAAAATGTCTCCCCTGCTTTTAAGTAGCCCAAACTGGGAAAACAAAGAATGAGGCTGACTGCGAAGAGATGTGCCAAATGGAGGGAAAGGATTGGCTAAATGAAGAAAAGATTGGCTAAATCAAGAGCAAGAAAAAATAATGTACTTTTCCTTTAGCTTTGGTAACAAGACAATGATGTTGATTATTGTGTTTCACATCAGAGGGTGATATGGCAGTTTGTGGGACGCATTTTCTCTTTCTGGTAACACATATCAGAGCCAGATTAAAACTTAGGTTGGATGTAGAGAGGTCAAATGTTCATCAGACAGAAGTGTTTCTTAAATACACACTGTGCAGTCCATCTGGTGCTGGTTTTGTACATCAAGAAAGAGGAATAGCAAAACAGCTTTCTGTGCACTTAGGTTATCAGCAGAGCTACAGACACATTCACACACACCCAGTAAAAACCAAACAAGTGTTAAGCAGTGTTTACACTTTGCATCAGGCATCAAAACCTGTGACCATGGATGCTAAAGCAAGGGGTGTGGAGTAGTTTCTTCTCCACCTCTGTGCCTGACCTCAAGCTGGACTGGAACAACTGGGAGGAAGGTGGCTGGAAAGCCAAATGGATCCTATGGAATCAGAGCTGCATGCAGAGAGATTCTGCTGAGTCTTGCTTCTGGCTTGGAGATAGGTCAGACTGCTGCAAAATCAAAGCTTTATGAAACTCCCTCAAGAAATCTTGGCCCTGTGTCACCTGATTTCCAGCTTATGGACAAGTAGAGTTTCAGTTGTGGCTGCAGTTTTGCACTGCAGTGTGTATTAAGAGGGAGAAGGAATAAAAGCAGAAAACACAGCAAGGACAAGCATTTTTTCTCTTACGCTGGTGAAATGAGAAAAGATTATGGAAGTGAAAACATCCTCCAAATGTTCCTGCTGGGACTCATGGAAAGGTGTTAAAAATCTGCAGCTCCCACTGACGCGCCAGTATTTTCATGGCTGAGTTGTACAGCTGTTGGAAACTGAATCTCAGATCTCAGATGCATGAATAGAGAGACAGAATAGACTTTGCACAGAATAGAAGAGACCCTGAGCAACCCAAACATCTTCTCAAGTTGTCTCTAATGGGGCTGGCTCAGTGAAGGTGGGTCACAGCTTAGATGCGCTGGATCTGTTGACAAAACCTCCATTATTTGCACTCATAAACAAAAAGCTTCCAATTTGTGAAGATCCAGCCAATAGCCTCTGTTTATTTGAAGGAAAAGCACTTCTAATACAGAAATAATTATTAATGGGATAATCATGGGTGTTTATGCGGCATCTTTCCACCTCCTGAGTAATATCTCTCTTCAGTGATCATGTCTTAAGTTACGCAAGTCAAAGCTTGAGATCCTTTCCTAGGAATTGTTTGTGCCATTGATGAGCATTGCTCAGAACAAGCTCTTCAAGGCAGTCTGCAGTTGTCAGGAGTGGGTTATATTTTATAGCAGCCAAGACAAGCTTTCAGTCTGTCACTGAACCGTTTGGTGAAGTGTAGGTATGATCTTGGTAGACATCTGGTGGTGGCGTTAAACCCAGTGTCAATGTAAGCACCCTTTTCAGACTCATCCCTTCTGTTTTTTTCCAGTGCCTCTGACTGCAGTCTTGCTCAGAACAAGCTTTTCCCCCAGTTCCATGCAGCGTCAATCCTAGGAAATTTTCTTCTGCAAACCCTGAGGACATAGCATGGCCCTTGTATTTCTAAAGAGCTCTTACATCTGGGGAAGTGTTGAGAAAAAAGTTAAGACTATCACTCATGCCATCTGAATCCAAAACCAAATTAAAATGCTCATTTTTTGTCTCTTTTGCCTGATGCCTGTCAGTTTAAAGACCACTTTGATCTTTCCAGGAGTCTTTAAGTGATTCCACATGTGTTTCTTCACATTGCTCCTGTTTATTCAGATGTGAAGCAGTCAGAGTTCAGAATTGGAGGTTGATGGAGATAGCCCAGGTGTTCATCTTGTTCTCCCTATGTTTGTGTACAACCAGAGTTAAAGTGTATGGGTTTGAGAAGCAGCATGAAGAGGGATGCACAGAGTGTTCCCACATGACTGAGTAAAAGTAATACATGATTGAGAAGTCCCTCTCTGCCTTTTCAGATCCTGGCCCTTGTAGCAGTCAGAAAAGCCATGGACTACCTCTTCTCCCAACATGACTTAAGCTTCCTTGATGACGTCATTCCAGAAAAGGACAAGAAAAAGAAAGAGGACGAGAAGAAGAAGAAGAAGAAGAAGGGCAGTATGGACAGTGACAATGATGATGTAAGGAGCTTTCTGCTCTTGTCAAATTACTCATTTCTAGCTAGCAAATCCCAGGGGACAGTCCCTGCCCCTTCACATCTCTGAGCCTGGGCATTTCCCAGCCTGTGGTGAATCCAACCAGCCCAGTCTTTTGCTGCTGCAGCAAATCAGCCCCAAACACAACATCTTTTCTACATCTCCCTCCCTTTCCCAGATGTCACCAGCCTGTGGTAGGTAGGACTTGTATTGCCAACAGTGAAATCACACTTCCACAAGGCCACTAGGTGTCTGCAGAGATGCCATGCCCTATACTAGAATGCCTGCCATCACCCTGCCTTGTTTATCTTTCTCTCCTTTGCCTTTCTCCCCATCACAGTCCTTTACATTGTAGGAGGAGAATGGTTTTCACCAGAAGCTCTGTTACTTCTCAATATATTCCAGTTTTCTTTTTTGATATTTTTTTAATTACTTTTAAAAGGACAAAAAAAAAGGTGTAGCTTGTCCTGTTGCAGGAGAGACTGCTTTCTGTTGGTAATTCTCACTACCCAAGTATTTTGAAAGCATACATGCCCTTCTGCAGTATACTCTGGTCCTGCCTCAGATTGCAGCATGCTCTAAAATAGACCTGTAGCTACTTAGGTCATTACTATGTGCAATGACCTGACTGGACCAGTTCCATGTGCCTTAGACTTCTCTATTTTTTACTGTATATGTAATAAGAAGAAATGTAGTCCTCGTGCCTTTTAATGTTCTCTGACCCAGGGCTAGTGTGAGCTCAAATCCTAGAAATTCAAAGTGCTAAACATGCTGGTTCTATAGCACTTTGTAGAGCAAGTGGGAGCTGCCTTTGGAGAGCTGGTTGCCCCGGTTTTTTAATATGAAAAGGGAGCTGGGCTTGAATTTTAGGCTGCATGGGGAGTACTAAGTACAGTGTCACTTTTTCTGCTCATGGAACCATCGAGGATTCATGAAGAAAGGCTTTTCCTGTGATGGAAGCAGAGGTAAGGTCACCTGAAGCTGGAAGAAAATCCCATTTTAATGTGGCAGAAGAAACAAATGAGAAGGGATTGCAGGCTGGGAGGAGGCAGGCAGCAGGAAAACCCAGCTGGCCCTTTCTTGAGCTCTCCTGCCCAGGTCCCTGACCTGCAGCCATCCCCAAACCAGAGGGTCACGAGTGCTGTGGGTCCTGTGCCTCACGCTGTGTCTGGGGGTTTTCTGCTGCCTTCCTTTTGGCATTGAGCAGATCTACCAGATCAGCTCTGCTTGTAGCTCAGATAACATCTGGTGTCTTCAAGAGGAAAACAGCAGCTCCAGGAGCTCCCCCAGACCATCCCAATGCATGGTCTTGCTCAAGGTTGGAATGAGAGAAAAGGTAACCTCAGCCCTGGTGAAGGACAAGCTGGAACCTGAGTCCTTCATGTGAAAGCTGTATGAGAACCTCTGCAGAGTTGAGTTAGAGGCAGCTAAGTCAGGCTATTCTGATGAGAAAAGGCCTTACATCTATGTTGTATAAAGCAGAACACGCAGGAATTAATTAGGTGAGGCTGCAGGGTTGTAGGAGGCAGCCTGGATCCACACCTTGGTAGATCGAGCTGAATCCTGACTGGGAAGATTGGCTCTTATTTCAGACAGCAAGATCTCCTGTCCTGATATTCCTTCAGTTCCTGGGAGGCTGAGGGTGAGGGTTTCCTTCAGCAGATAACTTTGTGCAAACTGGAGGGAGAGAAAACACCCTACATCCATAGGGAATAGTCAGCAAAGGTTTGACTCCATCCCCTTCTCTTGGCTGATTTGAATCCAGCAGTTTTGTATCCCTAGTCATGGCTCCCATATCTCCAATATCTTCAAAGCAATCTCCTCTCTTCCCAGGCTTTTCATGATTTGCAGGTACAGTAATTGATCTAATGGGCAAGACAATTTATGCAAAATGTTGGTTCTTAACTCTAATTTGGTTTGTTGTTTTGTTGGGTTTTTTTTCAGCACTTGCTTTTACCAGCTTCCTGAATGTTGGCATTATTAGTTTGATTTTTTTCACCCTTTCCTTTCCAGAAATATGTCCCCTCCATCTCCCTGCTGGACACCTCGATTTCCTCTCTGATTTTGTGACAGAAAAATGCATAATCCAAGAAAGGCCAGACAATATTTTAAAAAAACAAAACAAAACAAAACTTGGACTCCTGTATTTAGTTTCAGAGTCAGAGGTGGTGTGCAACTGTCTCTTCTCCCCTTTGGGGCGTTTTTACCCACTGCTGATAATTTCTCTGTCTCTCTGTTCATTTGAGATGGTGAAGTTTAAGGTAGACCCTAAGGTAGACATGATGTGATTCTTGGGGTTGCTGAACACCTCGATTTCCTCTCTGATTTTGTGACAGAAAAATGCATAATCCAAGAAAGGCCAGACAATATTTTAAAAAAACAAAACAAAACAAAACTTGGACTCCTGTATTTAGTTTCAGAGTCAGAGGTGGTGTGCAACTGTCTCTTCTCCCCTTTGGGGCGTTTTTACCCACTGCTGATAATTTCTCTGTCTCTCTGTTCATTTGAGATGGTGAAGTTTAAGGTAGACCCTAAGGTAGACATGATGTGATTCTTGGGGTGCCATACGCAGGGACAGGAGTTGGACTTGATGATCCTGGTGGGTCCCTTCCAACTCAGCATATTCTATGATTCCTTAGTACTGGAGTGGTGATAGGTGGAGAGGTTTCCCAGCTCTCTTGCTCTGCTCACAGCACGGCCCCAAAGGGATGGGGGTTTGGGGTTGGCTTTGTTGTCTCAGTGCTTTTCTACAGAATCATCGTGATTTGAGCTATGCTTGATCCCTCTGCCTCCTAAAAATGCTCCTGAGGAAACATGTTGCTATTGGAGTATGAAATACTTCACTGGATGTCAGCTGTGGTAAAAAATAATGTAAAAAAATAATAATAATCCAGGGATAGAGCTGCTTTGGCCTCTGATATTTTCCTGCCCTGCCCTGGAGTCTCCCTCCCTCCACCCCAGCATCACACTTGGTGCTGTGTCTGGTTCTCTCCAGAAAAAAGGATGTGTTAACCTTCCTGGCAAATTATCACCATATTTCCTTTGCCAAGTTCTGCAATATCAGCCTTTCCTTGCTTACAAGAAGATGCTTTTATTTTTAACAAAGCAAAATCAATTCCAAGTACCTTCCATTAAGCAGGAGCCAGTGGGGTGTAAATCCTGCTGTTACCCACAGGCTGGGGGACCCTGGGTACAGCTTTTCTCTGTGCTTTTGCCTCTTCTTTATTCTGCCTGGATGGGAGAACTGAATTCCTACAGGGGCCCTGGATTTGAGGAAGCATCTTACTATAAACAGAGGTGTCATTGCAACAGGGTTTGACTCCACTTAAAGAAAAGGGGGAGTTGAGACAGTCCAGCTGAAGGAACCTCCACCATATTGTGTCTGGCCAGCATCCTTCTAGAGCAATTGGGAAGAAAAAAAGGGGTTTTAGAGAAACTACAGCAGGATAAAACATTTTTATGAGCTTTCAGAGAAGGCAGTTGCCTGCAATTTCTGCCTATGGATAAGTTTTCCATCATGTTTCCTTCAGCCAGCTCCAAGAGGAACTGGATGGTGTCTTATAAGGAGCTGGTGAGGTGGGGAAAGGGGAAGACAACAAGGACACCAGAAGATTCTTTAGATCTGTTTTACTTTGGTAGTGTGAAGGAAGAGGAAAAGTGGGGTGCAGTGGGGAGCCAGTGGAAACCAGCAGGAAGCAAAGCTGGGCGATGCTTTGGTGTTTTTTTTTTCCTTCTTTTCCTCATTCCTCCAGAAACTGCATAGAGAATAGTTGTAATTTGTGGGAGACAATACAAGAGTGAGAAGTGAAAATATTCTAAGACTTTTACACGTTTCTTTCACAGTCTGACTGCCCCTACTCAGAAAAAGTCCCAAGTATTAAAATACCAATGGACATCATGGAGCAGGAACCTTTCCTAAGTGATAGCAAACCTGCTGACAGTGAGTAGAACTAACCTCTTCCATGCCTGCTTGACTCTGACTTGCAGTACAAAAATTATCTATATAGAGTGATTAAAAAAAAACCCCAACAAACAACTTTCCTATTACTTGAGAAGCACTTTTTCTTGTTCTTTATTCTGCCCCACCCCCCCCCTTACTCCCCTCCCGTTTAATTTCCAGGCCTCTGATTTATGACCAATTTTGTTTTCCTGAGCTTTTTTTTCTTTGCTGGTTACAAAAGTTGATGTTGTTCCCTCTGGTGCCTCCAGCTTAAGCGCTTTTATCCAGCTCCCAACAGGTCTCTTGATCACTCAGTCTCTCCTCCTCTGTTTCCTGACCTTTCCCCTTTTGTGGTAACTCTGCTGATGATGTGATTTCTTTCTTTACTGGTTTTTCTTCCCCTCTGAGCTTAGTGGTCTGGATTTGCAGCATGTCTAAACCGCATGGCTGTCCCATTCCCATTTGTTTCCTTAGGTGCCAAGCAGGGCAAATATCAGCGCTTTAATGAGGAATTAAGCACCTCATTGATCCGCATTGTGTTGAGCTAAAAAGGCAGGGATCAGCTGACCATTAACCTCTTTCCCTTCTTAGGTGGTTGGCTTTTGTGCCACTCTATTCCTCTTTCATTTCCTGCATTAATACCTGGTATTGATTATTCTGATCTTCATTTTCGGTCATTTTTACTTTCTGTATTACAGACTTTTTGTCATGAGATGGGGAGGGGAGGAAGAGGAATGAGAGGAATTAATTACTGCTGCTGCAATGCTGCTCGTGAGGCTTCTAGGAGTAGGATCTGCACCCACAGTTCTTGAGATCTTTGGATACCTCAGGCAATCTTAAGCACTGCTCTGGGGTTTTTAGATAAGGGGACACAGAGATTGGCATTACAGAGCAAAGCCATCGGGAAATGGACGTTTCTCTGAGAATTTAGACATTCTCAGAGACATTTTGCTGATAAGCAAAAGGAGCTATATCTGCCTCAGGCAACCAAACAGGTCCTCCTAGTTTTTCTGTGAGAATGCCCTGATGTGCTAAAACCAAACTGAATCCTAAGTGTGCCCAGGATCTTGTGACCAGTTGCACTCTTTCAATGTATTGAAGGCTGAAATAGTGCAGGAAAAGTCAATTCTGCCACAAACCTGTTTGAGACAACATGGACTAGATCACCCATGAGCTGAGCAGCAGTTGATTTGTGTATTTGCACATTTTTGTAATCCAATAATTGATTTGCTGCTTTTTAATTAGAAACGAACAAAAAAACCAACCCCAAACCAAAAACCCCAGAAGCCATTTGACTAGAAAAAGTACCAGGAATCCATCTAGATGTTTAAAAACTTTCCAGTGTCTGAAGGGGGCCTACAAGAAAGCTGGGGTAGGACTTTTTACACAGGTGTGTAGTGAGAGGACAAAGGGCAATGGTCTGAAGCTTAAAGAGGGGAGATTCAGGTTGGACATTAGGAAAAAGTTTTTTCCTGTGAGGGTGGTGAGACACTGGCACAGGTTGCCCAGGGATGTTGTGGCTGCCCCCTCCCTGAAGGTCTTCAAGACCAGGTTGAATGGGGCCTTGAGCAACCTGATCAAGCAGGAGGTGTCTCTGCCCATGCAGGGGGGTTGGAACTAGATGATCTTGAAGGTCCCTTCCAACCCAAACCATTTCATGATTCTATGATAGACCATGATGTTGCCCTGGAATGTACCTGTACTCGAGGATTCAAAGTATATTCCTAAGGATACTACTAAGGTCAGCTTTCCTTCAGCACTAGCAAGAGCAGGATTATTTACAGCAGAGGAAAGGCATTGCAGGCAAGGGACCACCTATTTTCTCACAAGGAGTTTGGGTGTGAGAGAGAGGAGCACAGGGTCACTAAAGAGGTGTAGCTAAAAGGTAAGTGTCAAGATGCAAAGGTGGTGGAAGTCTTGGGAAAAGAGTCTTTTGGTTGTGTGGGCAGTTTTTCTCTTGGAGGAGGGTGAGAGAAATGGAGTATTTTTATGTCTAGGCTGTGAAATCCCCCTGGCAGGCAGACAGCAGGACAAAAGCATTGCCAAGTAGATGAGAGTAGGCTGGAGAAACTGAGGCTGGGCTGGAGAAGCCATCAGTGCTGCCGGGAATGACAAATGAGACTTTCTTCCCTCCCCAACAGGAGAAAAATCACCAACATTCCTTGAACGCCATACGTCGTGCTGATGCAATTCCTTTCCTTCAGTCACACACCATGCCAAGGTAAGCACCTGAAAAATGGGCTGGTTTGGGGTCTGAACCAAAAGAAAGATGTTGAGCAGCTGGGGAGGAGTCTAGAAAACACATCTACAGAGGGGAAATGAAATTAACTTGGTCTGTTTCGCCTTAAAAAATATATATTAAAAAAACGCCAAAATAATGAGAGAAAATAGCTGTTCTGTTTTCCTTCAGTCATGTCACAGGTTGTTGTAAAGCAGAAGTAATCCATTTTCCCATGTCTCTGGTGGAAAATGGAGTAAATAATAACCTTACATTGTAGCAAGGAGGAGTTAAATAACAATTTCTCAGTCATGGCTCAGTCCCTTGGGGCTCCCTTGGTCCTCCCAGCACCAGGAGTCCAGGAGGCAGCAGTGGTCTTCTGAAACACTGAGGAATTATTTGCACTTCCAGGTGTTAGAGAGTGTGTGAGATTAATCTCAATGGCCATAACCTGATGATTTCAAAAGCAGTTTATGTGTTGCCGCAACTGGGTATTTGGAGCTCCTCAGTCAATGACATCAGTGCCTTTACCTCCTGACATGAGCAGTGTTTAGACCAACTCATTACAATTATTTTAAGTGATATTTTAAATTATTTGTCAAATGCTGGTTTTGTCTTGCAAGTTGCAGGGTTTTTTTTGTTCCAGAAGTCCTGAGCACAGGAATCCTCACTCTTACCTTGTCTTTTTTCTTGCAGCCCTCCACAAACTACAGTAAAAGTTGTGCCTCAAATTAGAATAGAACTTGGGCCTGAAGACAATGGTTATTTCTGGAGGAGCAAGGGAACAGAAACTACTTTGTAATTTGTCTGTCTGTTAAATCTTTTCTGGAATTTATTTTGCCACTAGCCAAATACTAAAATGCTCTCTGCTCCCCACCCTCAAAGGTAAATGCACCGCCCCTCGGATCTCCTCCCACCCTTCCTCACCCCATGTCCCCACACTGACCAAGACTGGTTTGGCCTTCTCTGTTGCTTCCACACACCTGTGTCTCTCTGGTGGGCAAGCAGAGAGCAGAAGCAGTAAGGATCCCATCTCATCCCCGTGGGAGCTGGCAGAGGAGCTGGCATGACTGTCGCTGGGAACCAGTGTTTGTTCCTGTGTCCTGTTTGTCCTCTGGCAGAACAAAACTGACCTCCAGGCTAATTTGATGTCTTGCTTCCACTGCTGGAAGATGCTGGAAAGTGCTGCTAACAGAAACTTGTTCTTCAACCCTGTGCTTGTAGTTACCACGGGAAGGAAAAGGCAAAGAAAGGTACTTGACTCCCAGCACAGAGAAATCATTGCCATCATTGTAGCACGTGTTTTGAAATGTCCCTTTCCTATGCAATTTTTTTGTTTTGTTTTAAGAAACACTTTAATGGACTTAATCCGTCAGGTACATTGAAGAGTGTTATTTTCCTAGATTATTTTGTTTAAATTATGGGGGCCTAACCTACGACAACTTTTTTTTTGGTCAATTTTTTTAACCTTTTTTTAATTACTGTAAAGAAAAATGAATTTTTCCTGCAGCAGGAAACATACAGTTATGAGTAGTTCTACCTCTTATTTCTAGATGCCAGGCTTTCTGTAAAAAAAAAAAAAAGTCTTGTACCATGTATAATGTGATTTTAAAAAAAAAAACCCACAACAAACAAACAACAAATCCACACCACCACAATCTTCAGGACATGGCATTGGGCTGGATCAGTTTGATTAACACCTTCTACTCTGAAGCATCTGTTTTACTTAGGGTTGTGTGATTTTATTTTGGTTTTTCTAAGTAATCTGACTTTACTATAAAGGAGACAGGATGTAACTGAAATCTCTGGTGATCTTGGAAGAGTCTTACATGTCATGGTGGTCAGCAAGCTCCTGAGCAGCCACCAGCCTCAGTGGACAGATGGTGATTGTGCTCCTCACCTTGCTGGTTTCCTACACAGTGGTTGTGTAAATTCCAGGCTTTTGGAACACGGGTGTGTGCATGTGTGTGTGTAGGTGAGAAGCCCCTGGGTGTGCTTCAGGCAGGCTGACAGCACCATGGAGGAGAAAGCCAGCTGAAGATGGCTTGCCGAGACGTCCGTCCCAATGCTTGTGTTCACCAGGCTCACCAACTTCTGCATCCTCTAGCATCCCACAGCTCTTGTACCGTCGTCTACAGAATTTACCCTAAATCTTGACTCCTTGGCCCTAGACCCATCTGTGGGTCCCTGGTGAGGTGTGGACCCCAGGCAGGAGAGGTGTGGACACACCCAGGCTTGTAGTTTGACACCAAGTGAGCAAATACCACCTTGGGAGAGATGATTTCTCTCTCTCTAGCATGGATGAGTGTGTACTTGTGTGTTATGCATTTGGGAAGTTTGGCTTCACCCAGACATTGCTTTTGTGGGGATCGCCTGGAACACACTAAACTGAACTTCAGCTAAAAAATAAAAAAATATACAAGAAGAAGGCCCATCTGTAAGGGCCAATTCCCCAGTGCAGGAAAACCCCACCCTGGAGGAGAGGAGCGTTGCCGCTGCTTCTGTCCTTGCGAAACCAAAGTCCATGTTGTTGAGTAAAGAGAATTTCATGAGGGTGCTGAGACCTTATATGCCAAATTTTATTATCTACTCACTGTAGTGAGTACAGATACTGTAGTATCTGTATCAGCAAGGAGAGGTGCAGAAGAGGCCTGTGCTGTATATATAGATATGCTGTAGAAGGTGCTGGCCACCCCACTGTCCCTACCGCACGTTGGTTAAGGGAGGAGTTTATGGGGACCATGCTGGCTTGAGCTAGATCTGCTGTGCATGGCTGCAGAAGGTGGCTGGAGCTGCAGAGGTGCCTACACAGCACACACCTCCCTCCAAACATTCCTCGTATGCTCCCAAGGGGTCTCCCTTTCGGCTTCCATGAGCTGTATGTTGGCTCTGATCAGCATCCCTGGAAACCAGCCCAAACCCCCATTGAGAAGGCTGGGGAGATGCCAGAAGCTGCTAGATAAGGAGCAGCTCTGTGGTCCCTTCTGCTGCCAGGCCCCACCAGCTGGAGGATGGAGAACCTGGGAAGCACAATGGCAGCTTCAACCAACGCTTTCCAGCCTCTGGTGAACACAAGTCCTGGCTCCCGATGGGGAAACAGCCTCCAGTATCATGTGCAGAGTTCACAAGAGCTTATTTGGTTTTGGACACAACTTGGATTTGTCGCAATCCCAGTGGCTGACAAGAGGAAAGGTGGAAGCAAGTGGACAGAGAGAAGCTGCTTTCCTGCTCCCAGTCAGCCCTGCGGCTGGGGACTCCACATTTCAGCTTCCCACCTGCTGGCCCCTGGCGATGTGTCTCCACAAAAATGAGGTCTTCCACTTTCCAACTCTGTTAAATGTACTTGAAATGCATTGACTGCTGATCTAGATCTCTCTCTTTTTTAATTTGTTGGTTTTTTCTTGTAACCCGAGGGAGCTGTTGCACAGAGGGTGGCGTTGCTGAAGGGACAGGACAAAAGCTTTGGTAGCTTTCCATGGAAAACACACCACCTCTGATGACAGGAGCTGGAGATGTTCCCTTTCCTGGTGCCTGTCACCAGTGCTCATTAGGGCTGGTGTCTCTCTCGTTGGGTTTTCCTTTAGAAACTCGGCACAGAGAGAGCAGGTGAGAGCTCTTCTGGACCAGGAGTCAGCAGGCAGGAGACAAAGCCTGCAGGCAGCCCAGGGAGAGTCACCGTGCACTTCACAGACCTTTGGAAGCAAAACTTGTCCTCCATCAGAACTGGGGATCTTGTGGGAAAAGCCTAGGTGAGCATTTTGGGGGATTCTCCTCCTGATGTGACAGCTGCCGAGATGCAGGCAGCTTTGTCCCAGCCCCAGGAATGTGGTGGCCCCTCTGCCTCTTCAGCCCATACTCACTTGTCATCGTGGCTGATACATCTTTGTAATTTAAAAAAAAATTTTTTTTTTAAATCAACATGCACTTTCAGATACTTCTGTTATTGTTTTTAATTCTGTTAAGTCTGTACTTGCTTTGGAGGAAAGAATAAAAACTTAGTATAAAATGAGTGGATGAAATGGTGGAACGAAAAGGAAAAAAAGCAGAAAGCATTTCAAGATATTAAAATTATTTTTTTCCAGTAATATAAGACATTAAATTCCTTATAACATTATAGTATTTTACAGTTTTATGAAGCTTTCTATTGTGACTTTTATGGAATCAAAAGATGAAGATGATGAGATATTTTAGCATTTATATTTTTCAAAATTAAATGTATACTGAAAATAAAGTAACTTTATGCATTTATTGGAGTCTGGCCTGTTTTTTCTCATTCTATATTCTGGTTTGATTGACTCGAGCTCCCAGCGTCACTGTTGCTGTGCTCACCATCTCCAAGGGAAGATGCCAGATGGAGGGACAGGAGCCTTAGGAAAAGTCAGACGGATAGTGAAAATCGAGGGAAAGTCTCTTTAACAAGCCATACTGGGGCATCTCCTGCACCATTACCTGTAGCCGGTCCCCTCCCTCATAAATTGCTGTTTATCTCCTGCCAGCTGGCCAGAAACCTTTGCTGAGCCCATCTCTGCTGAGCCCATCTCTGCTGACCCTCAGGGTGTCCAGCCAAGAGGGAGGCACATGCTGCTCCTTTAGGAAAGCGCCCTGTGCGGAATGGAAGAAAAATGGAATAAAACTAAAAGGAGGGAAGAGCCCATTTGCCTGCTGTCTTTCGTGTGGTTGAAGATGATGGCAGGGGTGCTGCTGGCCCAAAAGAGTGAACTCTGGCCCAAATGGCTGGGGAACAGTGTCACTGGGAAAGCAAAGAACCCCGGAGGCAGGTCCAAATAATACTTTTCATCTTTTTTTTTTTTTTTTTTAAATGTTGCTGTGGATCTAGGAATTGATTTAAAAGAAGTTATTTGCTCAGCTTATTTACTTCTGGGTTAACTTGCTCTGTGGGAGCAAATCACTTCCCATTTGTAGGAAAACCCACACAGCTGTATGTCAATAAATGGACACTTAATTGATTTTCCCTCTGCAGGAGCCTGATCCTCACAGGAGGGTCTGTGAGCACTGGCACAGGAGGCGCTGGGAGCCAGGTAGGTCCCAGCAGTTCCTGGGCCTCGAGCAGTTCCCTTTGCGCTTTTTCCCTCGCAGCCTTCCTGCTTGGAAGCTTCTGGTGAAGTTCCTCCCAGCCTGCAATGTCTTGAGGCTTTAATGGCAGCTGGCTCAGCCCTTTAGTGTGAGTAGCAGCTTGAGATGGCAGTGTTGGGAAGGGGGTCTGCCTGGCACAGAGGTCTGTTTGGTTTGGGTTTTTTTTATTCCATCCTCCTTGCACCTCTGCTAGCCTCTTCACTTGCAGGGTGGTGCTGGAGGTGGCCTGTGGTTTGTTGGGCACCCCAGTGTTCAGGTGATGAGCAGAGGGGCCAGGAACGGTTGCTCAGAGCCACAAAGATGGGTATTTTTTTGGTTTGTGGTTTTTTTTGTTTGTTTGTTTTTCCCCCACAAGGTGCCAATGGCAGAGGCTTGGGTGCACAGGGTGCATCTGCATCATGTACTGGGATATGGGTGGCTCCTGGGAGCCCGCACCAGGTGCTGCACAGGCCACTGTCAGCAAAGAGGACAGGCGTAGGGGCTTGGGGCGTTTCTTGATGACATTTTTTCTCTGCTGCTGTGGTGCAACATGAAGCTCCTCTGTCTGAAAAGGTGGGAGCTTTCCCCCATCAGGGGCAGCTTCTGTTGCAAAACAAACAAGATGCTTCTTTTGTGCCAGGCAGGGATGGAGAGGGCTATTGGCTGGGGAATGGGTGTGTGGGGAGGCCCCCAGAGCTGCTGCAGAGCAGTGGCCTGTTGCTGAAGTTAAATCCTCAATAATGGAGGCCATCATCTTTATGGCTCAATGTGATCATTTGCCTGGTTGTTTGGTGGGGAGGAGGATGTGGCAGAATTGGGCATTTCCATCCATGGAATCTTGGAATTGTCAGGGTTGGAAGGGACCTCCAGGGATCATCTAGTCTGACTCTTGTGCTAAAGCAGGATGCCCTGGAGGACATCCCACAGGGCTGCAGCCAGGGGGTTTAGAATGGCTCCAAAGAAGGGGACTCCACACCCTCTCTGGACACCCTATCCCAGGGCTCCGTCACCCTCACTGTAAAGAAGTTTTTCCTCAGATTTCAATGTCACTTCCCATGTTCCAACTTGTGCCTGTTGCCTCTCATCCTGTCCCTGGGAACTCCATAATTAAAGCTAAGGGTAGCTCAAGCCTGTTAGCTGTAGCACCCATTAGCACCAGTGCTAATAAATACACTTGGAGCAGAGCTTGTGCGAGACTGCCCAAAGCTTCCTGCCATGATAAGTGGCATTCCCTCACATACAGACTCAAAATGCAGCATTTCTTGGCCTTCACCTGCCACTTTCCAGCAGGGCTTCTGGTGCTTTAAGCTCCAGGTAGCCAAGAGGAGAGGACACCCCAGCAGCCAGTGATGCCTAACCAGAAAATCCTGCCTAGCAAACCCTTTACGAGAAGTTTTGTGCTGTGGGTGTGAAGGGGTGAGTGATGCAGGCTGCTCTGGACAGAGCCTGGGCTTGACTTCCTGCTCCCTCCAGCGTGCCCAGGCTTCAGCCTCAGGAAATGCCTCTGGGGAGTGTCCCTGTGCACTTCCCACCCTGAAAGCTGCAGCAAGAACAAGCTCTGCTGTTGTAGATTCTTATGTATCTACGTATGAGCACATTTCCCAGAAACAGGTGCAAAGCAGAGATGTTCTTAGCTTACTTCATTGTGAGAGAAAGGGTGCTTATCTTGCCCAGCAATGTTGCCAAAAAAAAATAAAATCCTTCCTTTCTCGTTCTGTCCCCAAAATAGTGGTCTTGCCACCCCATGCAGCCTCTTTGGGGTGAGGCTCCTTCCCCCTTGTCCTCAGCTGCCACTCTGCCCAGCTTAAAAGGCTCGCAGCACCCTGGGCCGGCCACACCCTCTTCCTAGCAGGGTTTTGGGGTCTCAGCCACCCCCGCATTGAGGGCCTGCACGGTCCTGAAGTCAGTGAGGGTCAGAGGGGGAGCCCAGATGATCTGTTTGCTAGGAGATGGTACAAACAATGCTGGCAGCATCCGCCCAGGCTGTGGGGTGGGAAGGAGTGGGCTGTGCTGATCCTCCCATCTCTCACAGATGAGCTTATCAGGGCTGTGGCTGCTGGAGGGGGGGGGGGACACCAACCTGGCTGTGACCCCAAGCACAATCCCCCTCTGTCCGAGGGTGGGCTGATGCTCTCCAGAACAGCGAGAACCAACACCATTGGGGGGTTGCTTCTTGTTGCTTAAGATCTGGTCTGGTGTCCACAAAGTTATTACTCTAGGCCCTCAATTAGCTTAAAATTTATTTCCCTCAATTCCGCCTATGAATCCTCTGGCCCTTGCAGAGTTTTCCCTTTGTTCTGCAGTCCTTCTGTCCCATGGACAAGGCCTGTGCTCCTTTTATATCCCCTTATTCCATTTATCACTTTATTTGGACCACTGTTCAGCTCATCCCTGTTTTCTTTCTCCAGCACAGGCTGTTTCATTTTCCTGGTGTATCTTTGCATGCCACAGCTCTGTGCACCAAAGTATCATGATCTACTTTCTTTGGTATAGTTACACCTTGTTGTTCTGCATAAAAACTGCCAAGCTGGGACTCAGGGGATTTTCCCTTTGTTTTCCTGGCTGGGTTTGCCTCCCAAACGGGGCTGCTTCACCCACAGCACCCCCAAAACTCAGGCAGTGCTTGGCAGGCGGGTGAGGAGGCTGCAGGACAGGGGAGGGGTTTGGGGTACAGAGTGGGAAAGTTGCAGTGGTGCCTAGAGGCATTACCCTGGGTGATGGGGGCATGTCTTCAGCCAGCTGAATTTCCAGTTCCCACCTTTCAGGGGCGCTGGGTGAGTGGTTTTGGTGTTCATGCTTGATTTTTAAGACCGTTAGCTCCCAGGACTGGAGCTGGGTTATCCTCCTGAGGAGGATGGGCCCTTTCCCAGCCCTCTGCACCGTGCTAGGGTGCAGGAAACCTTTCCAGCAGCAGCCATGGTGCTTCTTTAAAGTCTTTATTGGGGCTGCAGGAACACGCCGACGGTGCTAGGGCTCAGCAGGGACCTGCAGGCTCGGTGGCACCTTCCTCTCCCAGTGCAAGGCACAGCCAGGTGTCCTCCAGCCTGTTCCGTCCAGCTCCCTTTCCATGTCCTGCTTCCCTGCATGTCCTGCAGAACTCAGCCCCAGCTGCATGGCCTTGACCCCTTTCCCCAACTCCATTAACTCTCCCCTCCAACCATGCACAACCCCAGAAGTGGTCCCCAGTGCCCACTCACCTTTGCTACTGGCCCAGCAGGCATGAGCCCCCATCACACACCTCTCCCAGCTCCGAGCTTACCTGCAAAAGGGGGGATAGAGCCAAGGGGCAGCCCTGGGCAGTGGGGCTGGCTTCTGGCATGGGGCAGAGGGGGCCATGGCTTTACCTTGGAGGTGCAGTAGAGGGGAGGCGAGTTGTGGGGGCAGCAGGTGGAGGCAAAGTCAGCTTGCTGCTCCACTCGCTGCCCCAGCAGCTCAGGGCTGGCCTCTGGCATCCTCTGTGTCAAGCTCTCCCGCAGCCTGCAGTGTGGGGACCGGTGGGCTTGGGGGGGGGACCCCAGGGCATTCAGTGGCCGCGGGGCATTTATTTTTCTTGGGGGGGTGGCACATGTGCAGATGGCAGTGGGAGCAGGGGCAGGGTGCCCTGCCACGGGTGTGTTATGTGCTTCCCCCATGTTTTGCTGCTATTTAGGCTACAACCACTGGCTTCATTTGTGCATCCTCAAAATGTCAGCCAAAATTTGGATTGCATTCTTAGAATCATAGTATCACATGAATGGTTTAGATTGGAAGGAACCTTAAATATCATCTCGTTGCAACCCCCTGCATGGGCAGGGACACCTCCCACCAGACCAGGTTGCTCCGAGCCTCATGCAACCTGGCCTTGAACACTTTCAGGGATGGGGCTTCCACAACCTCCCTGGCCAACCTGTGCCAATGTCTCACCACCCTCACACTAAAGAATTTCCTCCTCTTGTCTAACCTAAATCTCCCTTCATCCAGTTTTGATGCATTATCCTTTGTCCTCTCACTACAAGCCCTTGCCAAAAGCCCCTCCCCAGCTGTTCTGGAGCTCCTTCAGGCACTGGAAGGTGCTCTAAGGTCTCCCCAGAGCCTTCTGTTCTCCAGGATGAACAGCCCCAAATCTCTCAGTCTGTCCTCATGGGAAAGGTGCTCCAGCCCTCGGATTGTCCTTGTGGCCCTGCTGCAGTTCTAGGGAGGGGAAAGAAAACTTACCTCTTCTTGAAGTCGAGGAAGTTTAACTCATTGTACTGCCTGCAGAACTGGTTAGCCTTTTCCAGGAACGTGGGCAGCAACTCTCCCACCTGCTGGCGCTGGGTGGCAGAGGGTGGCTGTAAATAGGCTGGGAAAAGCATCTGCAGGGGCTTGGGGGGTGCAGACCTGGGGGGTGGGAGGGTCGGGTGAGCCAAGGGAGCCATCTCTGCCACTCACCTTGCTGTCCAGGCAGGCAGAGGTATCCTTGGCAGAGCAGCACTCCTCCCGGACCTTCTTGGAGGCATCGTAGAGCTTGGTGAGGAAGGCATCGGGGAGGCTGGTGTGTCTCCGCGCCAGCTCAAACAGGTACCTGGAGCAGGGAGAAGAAGGTGCAGGATGAGTTTTACCTGTGCTTCTCAGGGTGGGATGGGGGCTGCTCTTTGCATCCAGCTTTGTGCAGCCCTCGGGGCAAGACCCCCTGAGGGGAGAGAGGATGCCCCCCCC